GATGACACAAAAAACAAAACACATGAAGTTTAAATAGATAACCGTGGCGTACCATATTTTGATGGATTGTTCATTCTTTCAGTCACTGTAGTGTAGAAATCGAAATTAGAATACAAGAACCCTTTCAATTGTTTGTTGAGGTTTCTGAGGTTTTTGGAAAGTGCCCCGTTATGTAGTTTCACTAAAGTTGTGATTTCTGCCATGCATTCACCATTATTTTCAGGCTCGAGTGCTCTAAATCTTGGCAAACAACCCAAAGGCCCCAAGTTAACAAACCCGAATTTTCGCCCGCCTTTCATGTAAATATCCTGTTTAGAAAATTAATAGTAAGCACAATTAGAAAAATGGAGGGGGGGCTAGGGTTTGCTAGGAAAAGAGAGACAGTATCATATTACCTTGATCACAGTTGTTAAGGTACTGATCACAATCTTGACGTATTCCTCTGGAGAATTTGAATGAAAAATGGTGGAGTTTGTCAAAAAGGGGCTCACGTAATCGTTGCTCCCTATGCTAAACAAGTATACAGCATTAGACAACAGTTGCTTTGCTTCCCTGTCCCCTAGATTTTGCCTCAGCTGCTTCACTACGATTTTGAAATAGCTCAGCTGTGTTTTAAGGTTAATCACCTACAAAAGGATTCACAACACTGTCTGAAAAATCTAATATATAGCTTAATGGAATATGTTTTTTCATATGAACATTAATCTCAGATGGATGCTTCATGCTTCAAAATTGTACACAACTCAGAACCCAAAAGGGTGCAATCCAAATGTATATCCTCCCTTGGATAAGTGGGTCTTGTCAATTTTTTGGATAGAATTCACTCATTCAAAAAATGATATGCATTTAAGTTGCATTAATACTTTTATTACTGACCATTCCTGGAAAAGTTTCAGGTAAAGCACCAGCTCCGCCAGATGCAAAGTTTGTCCCATAAACAAATTGCTGATAACCAGCAGGCTGCTGGAGATATGGTTGAATTAGTGGCAGCTTGGCATACTCAGCTGCAAGAGTAACAGTACAAAGGTGGTAAGATAAGTTCCATATATATAATTCATTGAGGTATTAGATCAAGGAAATGCTGTATGTTGATCAGGAACTTAAATATTACCGACCGAATAATGCAACACAAACTTAAGTCTATTTAACATTTTCCTTACCGATAAAGTCAGGGATGAGACGACCATCGCAAAACCTTCCAGTGGGGTACTTGAAGAAAGATTCGCCATAGGGCCAAAAATTTGACTGGAAGCTGGTGGTAGTGTTGATGTAGTTATTGTTTCCTGGATCGAAAAGTGAATCTCCAAAAATGAAGAGCTCTGCGGCATGTTTGTTGTTGTTTTGATGATGGCTAAGGCAACTGGTTGCGGAGATGAGACATGAAAGGAGAAGCAAGATGGAAAATTGAAAGCTTAGTGCCATGGCACTTGAACTTGATTCAGTTTTCCATGCTCTCTGCGTGGTGTCTGTCACCTTATTTTTAATATGCGGAGGAAAGGGGAAAGGTGAATTGAAACTGCTAGAGCTAGAATTTGTATGGTACCAAAATGTGCATACTTTTTGTGACCTCATCAGTGGCGTAACCCACACGAAAAATAATATCTCAATGTAATCATTTGCTTTGGTCAAGCAAGCGAATATATTGAAACGATGATATTTATCATATTTGTGGTATTAAAAAAAATAGTAAAAATAATTATGCAATAATAAAAATATTCATAAAAATGATAAAAATACTTAGAAAAATAGTAATTTTTTTTTGTAAAATGAGTCACAAAAATTATAAAAATACCCTTTAAATACCTTCAAAAATTTTTTTTGAGTACCTCAGTCAAGTCCTTGAAATGTTTAACTTACAGTTTCAAATGATATTGAATTAGATAAATTTCACTTATGTCCCCCTAAATTTAGGTTACTTTCATTGACTGTAACGCCCCAACAATCCCCCTTGGGTGACATTACATTCTAAAAATCATTCACCGCATGAGAGTATTAAGTAAATCCATCACGACGAAAGTTTCATTCATCCACAATTCATATTTTAACAAAATTTGGGCAGAGTCTCCTCTGTTCGGGGAGCTCTACCCAAAATATAACCTGTGCAATTCTACTGCAATGACCACACCGGGTTCATTTAACTACCATAAAATCAATCCATCCAATTTACATATTATCCCAAAAGAATATGCCAAGTTATGGTCTTTACATTCCCACAAAAGTACTATAATACACAGCGGAATTTATAAAATAAAAACTAGGTTATACAATTCTCCCAAAAGATTATCCAAGTCTATAACAAAAGAAAGGGGGGTCGCTCTAAGCATCCACCTCGGGATCCACGCTCCCTTCTATCAGAGTCTCCAAATGTGTCGGCCCCTCGACTCCCAGCTCCTCGTCAAAGGCAAAATCTGAAAGGTGGGGAAGTAGGGGGGTGAGCACAAGGCTCTGTAGGAGGATCCTTCCAAACCCATTCAAGGTTTTGAAATCAAGTAAAACAGGTAGGTCACGTTTCGCACATACATATAAATGAATTTTAAAGTAAAGTAAGGACATTTTAAAGGAGATCTCAAGTTTGTACAATAATAAGGACTTGAACGAGAATAAAACCACGTTTAATTGACAAACAATTTCCAACATAATCCACTCCACCATACACCATTTCCACAAGGTATCGCGGCATCCCATACTACCCGAAACTCTTGGAAAAATAATATTTGGTACAATGAACAAAAATTTCTATTTGGTACCACTCAAGTAGGTTGTCGCTTCTCATGAATCTACCCGACGATTCTACCTCGTTCACCCATTTCCACTAACAATCACAGACCAATTTAGGAAGGGCATGTACCGTCTCATACAGCCTTGACGAGATCCTCCCAAGGTGTCTAGTATACTAACCCTTTTCCCCGGTATCCGTGAACAATAGTGGTCACTGTCACCACAGTGATCCACTACGAGCATTAGGTAGCCATCCCCCCCCCCATTGGGATAGACTAACCTCTAACGCTCTACGGCAGTTTTCGAAGGTAATCCAAGTCCCTCACAACACCATACACAAGAGTGACATACCAACAATATACTCAACCTCATATACAAGCAAATTCCATGATGTTTCCCCAAATTTTCACAAGCAAGATACATAATAGAACAATTTAAGAAAATATACCCATTTCGCAAATCATGTAACAAGAGACAAGTTTAAAGGAAATAAGCATGAGATCATCAATACAATCATTTTACTACCCAACACAAAGTTCTAGAATTTTCGAAATCAAGATGATGTGAAGATATAGAGAAAAATCCATATTTCCCCCAAAAACTAGAGTTTGATGGATTTCCAACCATCATTTTGTTCAAATCATGGGAATGTTTGTAAACATACCAAGGAACAAGGAACCCATAACAAATACATACTATTAAGAGCCAAATTCTACATGTATAATAACCCTAACATCAATGGACAAGGATGGAAGAAAACCCTACCTCAATGTTCTTAAAAACCTAGGTTTAGTGTGAAGAAGATGAAGATTTGATCTTCTTTGAAGTATAGATCTCCTCTTGATCTTGTGTTTTATCCTTCTCTCTTCCTCTAGAGTCCTAAGAGAAGTGGGTTGAGAGTGGAATGAGAGTAAAGGCTGAAATCTATGTTTTTAAACATAGAAATCCCGATTTTTTTTTCCTTTACTGTTCATGGGCTATTTCGACTTTACTGTTCATGGGTTGCTTCAATATTACTTCGTTTTCGGGGCATAACTCTCTCATCCGAGCTTCGATTTAGATGATTCAAGATGCTATGGAAAGCTAAGAAAGAACTTTACAACTTTCATGTTTTGAGTTTTAAGAGATATTGACTGCATCAAGGTCTAAATTGGGCTTGAAGTTGTAGCCAGTGCACAGTTCACGTGCACTGTTCACTATTTCATCTCTTTTTTCATTTTCAATCTACCAAAATTCAAACACACATCGCTACACCTATCCCTATTTTTACAACAATTATTTAATATATATCTATATGCATATATATAAAATAAAATGCGGAGTGTTACAATCCACCCCCCTTAAAGAAAGTTTCGTCCTCGAAACTTACCTCAAGTAGCGAACAAATATGAATATTTCTCTCGCATCTCCCACTCCGGTTCCCAAGTTGCTTCCTCTACGCCATGATGTTGCCACAGGACTTTCACCAGCTGGATTACCTTGTTGCGAAACACTTTCTCCTAGATATCAAGAATCTTCACCGGCTGCTCTTCATAGGTGACTCCATCTTGCACTTCAATATCCTCCAAATTCACGACATGCGACGTATCTGGTTGACACTTCCTTAACATCAAAACGTGGAACACGTCATGAAATCCTGACAACGATACTGGTAGCCGAAGTTGGTATGCTACTTTGCCCACTGTCTTGATCACTTCAAATGGACCGATGTACCTTGGAGCGAGTTTTCCTTTCTTACCGAATCTAAGTACGCCCTTCTTGGGTGACACTTTAAGAAATACAAAATCTCCCTCCTTGAATTCCAAAGGCCTTCTTCTCCTATCCGCATAGCTCTTTTGTCGACTCTGTGCTGTGCGTAATCTCTCCCGAATGAGCTGAATCTTCTCCGTTGTCTCCCGTACAATCTCGGGCCCAAACATACTACTCTCTCCGGCTTCCAACCAACACGTCGGGGATCTACATGGTCTTCCATACAAAGCTTCATATGGTGCCATTCCGATACTCGCTTGGTAACTGTTGTTGTACGCAAATTCCACCAACGGTAAGTGATCGCTCCAACTCCCTTTGAAGTTCAATGCGCAAACTCGTAACATGTTTTCCAAAATCTGTATCACTCTCTCAGATTGGCCATCGGTTTGAGGGTGAAAGGCTGTGCTGAAATGTAACTCTGTCCCCATAGCTTGTTGTGGACTTTGCCAAAAACAAGCTACAAAACGAGAATCGCGATCTGACATGATAGAAAGTGAAACTCCATGCAATCGAACAATCTCTCGAATGTACAGTCGACTCAAGATCTCTAATTAGTCTGTGGTCTTCATCCCCAAAAAGTGAGCTGACTTGGTGAGTCGATCTACGATAACCCATACGGCGTTATGCCCTCTTGAAGTCCGTGGAAAACCCGACACGAAGTCCATGGTGATATGATCCCACTTCCACTCCGGGATAGGCAGAGACTGTAATAATCCTCCAGGTCGTTGGTGCTCAATCTTCACTTGCTGACATACGGCACACCTTGAAANGAAAAACTCGACACGAAGTCGATGGTGATATGATCCCACTTCCACTCCGGGATAGGCAGAGACTGTAATAATCCTCCAGGTCGTTGGTGCTCAATCTTCACTTGCTGACATACGGCACACCTTGAAATGAACTTTGCTACATCCTTCTTCATTCCACTCCACCAATATTGTCGTTTCATATCTCTATACATTTTTGTACTCCCCGGATGTATAGAGAACTTCGATCGGTGACACTCTCCCAACACTTCTTCCCTCACTTGGTCGTCGTTTGGCACGCATAATCTTCCCCGAAACTGTAACTCCTCATTCTTTAAAGACCAATCCTCAACAATCTCATTCCTCTCCAATTTATCCTGAATTTTTGTCAACTCGGGATCTAACCGTTGCAACTCCACAATCCTTTGTCGGAGGATTGGTTGAGCTACTAGGTTAAACAAACATGGTCGATCCTCCGGTCCATTAACCCATAGATCAAACTCCTCCAACGTATCCATCATTTTCCACCGTTTAGCCGCAAGGACATTGATTTCACCCTGAGACTTCCTACTCAATGCATCCGCTACTACATTAGCCTTCCCCGGATGATAGTTGAGAGTGAAGTCGTAATCTTCTAAGTACTCAATCCACCTTCTCTGCCGGAGATTTAATTCTTTCTGTGTGAACACATACTTGAGGCTTTTATGATCCGAGAACACTTGAAATTTCTCTCCATACAAGTAACACCTCCACAACTTAAGAGCAAAAATCACAGTAGCTAGCTCCAAGTTGTGAGTGGGATAGTTCTGCTCATGAATTTTGAGTTGCCTCGAGCCATAAGCAACCACCTTGCCTCCTTGGATCAACACACATCCCAAGCCTCGTAGTGAAGCATCGGTGTAAACATCGTAACCTTCCCCACTGTTCGGAATAATGAGGATCGGTGCCGTCGTCAACTTTTCCTTCAAGGTGCGAAAAGCTAATTCACACGCTTGAGTCCACACAAATTTCTCCCCCTTCTTGGTAAGGCGAGTCATCGGCATCGCAAGCTTGGAAAAACCTTCCACAAANTGTCGTCAACTTTTCCTTCAAGGTGTGAAAAACTAATTCACACGCTTGAGTCCACACAAATTTCTCCCCCTTCTTGGTAAGGCGAGTCATCGGCATCGCAAGCTTGGAAAAACCTTCCACAAACCTACGATAGTAACCGGCTAACCCCAAGAAACTACGTATTTCTGTCACATTCTTTGGTGGTTCCCATTTCATCACGGCCTCAATCTTCG